GAAGTGATCCGTCCAACCACCTGAAGAAGGTCGGAGCGTACAACGGCCGAATCGTTGTGATAAATATTGCGACAAAGATGAGGACAATAGTCCGAATAATGTAAATAATGTTGGACTGTATATTAAAATTAATATCGACTAACACTATTCAGACGAATATCGACTAATTTGTTAGTCATATTAAAATTAATACTGACTAATACGTTTGGTATGCTAAATTAAATATTGACTAATATGTTAGGCATATAATGAATGATTAATTAAGCAGTTCTGCAACATCGATTTAATAGGGGAGCTGAAAAGTTCTATCTATCTATCTATCTATCTATCTCATTCTGTTCCTTCCTTCCCTTCTGTTGTGGTAGGATCCACCTAATTTGCATAGTGGAGTACCGACCATATAAATTTGGTTGGTACCGAGAAGAGAGGGAGGAATCAAGAGATTCAACCAGAGACTCTGCCCGACTGCGACTCAGTCAACACATTCTCCAGGAACGGTCTTACCAGGAATATACAAAAGACTATATGTAAATATTGTGTACACTTTCTTGTTTCAATACATTTTGTTCTAAGTACATTTTGTGTTGCATTATTATTCCATGCATTAGTCAAGTTTCAACACCTTCTATACTTGATCTCCCCCTCCCCAAAAAAGTCGAAACCATCACCTATATAGCATATGAAATGACTTTGGCCTTTATGGAGCAGGTGAAGAACGGTGTTTCCACTGCATGGATTGTCCTTGGCTCAACGTGATGAATAAAACATTCATCCTGGGTTAGGCAATGTTCAAGGAAATCAGTTGGATCTGCCTCAGCCAATTTCGGATTTTCTCTTGATGTGATAAATATGGTACGCTTCTGATCAGGTATCAGAAGACGAGGCACCAACCAAGCAGAAACCTTCGTCATCCCAAGTTCATTGCGCGGAATATTCTCAACTCTCTCCTGGTCGGTTACTTGATCTATAGTTAATCGCCTGTCATCCATCAACATGCCGTGAACACGCTCAATGTTTTCCTCATTGGTGGCAACTGCAAGGTGTCCAGACCTTGGGTCATCTTCAAGACTTCTCTCTTCACCTCTTAAATTCAGCTGCCCACCTTTGTACAGTTGATAAATCTGGAACGTCCTCCCTTAATGTAATAACCATGTCAGCATCAATGTCTTTGATGACTAACCCCTTTTTCTGCATGTACTTGATAACAACATGATCCAGTTTCATGAGAAGTCGTTATTAGTTACTTTTGATGTTTTCTATGGACAATCAGATGCCAGTTGACCTGGAAAGAAACAACGCAGATATTAATAAGAAGAGATGAGATGAATGCATTCAAGATCTTATAGCTCCAGAACCACTCTTTCATGGTCAGTCCAGGAACTTTTCAGCCCATCCTGGTAAGTCTGTATAACAAGTATCCTGAATAGGTAAATATGCATCTATATAAAAGAAATGACCAAGGCTGTATCACCAAAACACTCTGCTGCTGTTGGCGCTTCCCTAGTAGACTTATGGCAACTGATTAAAAAAAAAATAGCACGCCATGAGAGCTGCTAGACCACGGATTAGAGAGGTTGGACTGTATATTAAAATTAATATCGACTAACACTATTCAGACGAATATCGACTAATTTGTTAGTCATATTAAAATTAATACTGACTAATACGTTTGGTATGCTAAATTAAATATTGACTAATATGTTAGGCATATGATGAATAATTAATTGGGCAGTGCTGCAACATCGATTTAATAGGGGAGCTGAAAAGTTCCCAAACTTTTTGTCATTTGATCAGATATTGTGAAGTGGATCGAGTCGAGAACAGCACTAACTTTCATATGTTCAATGTTGTCTTCTAAAATCTAAATTTTTTACCCTCTCCTCCCCCGCCCTGTATCTCCAGAGGTGACTTTGAGGATCTTCTCACCGAAATTCTAATATCTCATAAATTTTATTCGGTAGTTTTCTTTGTGAGAACAGTTTTCAACATTTTCTCACTGCTTTAGCAATATCTATCTATCTATCTATCTATCTATCTATCTATCTATCTATCTATCTATCTATCTAATTCTGTTCCTTCCTTCCCTTCTATCTATCTATCTATCTATCTATCTATCTATCTATCTATCTACAGTAGTTTTAATCTAGACTTTCTCCATTTTCGGAACTTGTTTTTTTTATTCTGTTTGCGTTATTTATCACAGCAAATAAGGCAATCTTGGAAGTATTTTGGGGGAATATATGGTATGGAGTTTTGAGCAGTTTGTTTATTTTCCTGTCGCAGTCATATTCAGAACGCCATACATACGCTAAAGGAAAAGTCAGAAATATTCACATTCTCCTTGCAAAAAGTCTGATGCTAAGTGCTACTTTACATGTGAAGTATTTATAATATTTTTACACTGATAATACTCGCTTAAGTAGAGGGTCGGTTTCACACAGTCCATTTTTTAATCTCTTGTAAACAGGGGCTACCAGATATCTGGTTAATGTATCTTTCTTTAATCCAAAGCTCTCGAATTTCAAGATTAAGAAAAGAAAGGAAGAGTTCTGAATTGCATGTAATCTTCAGACCAAGTACCAACACTCCAGCCCGCTGTCACCATTCAGTGTTAATTACTATATCAATACACACACTTTCTCTCTCTCTCTCTCTCTCTATATATATATATATATATATATATATATATATATATATATATATATATATATATCATCATCATCATTATCATCATCTATATATATATATATATAGATGATGATAATGATGATGATGATGATGATGATCATCATCATACCCTTGACTTTTGTAATCGTAGGATGGATCCGAATGCAGAAGTCACACTAACACTTTTCCACAACGGTCTATTAACGGCAGCCATCAGCAATTCTGGTCCATTTTTTGAAATTTTCCAACCAGTTTTTGCGTTGGTGTCCTCTTCTACGTTCACCTTCAACGGCGTCTTGCATGATGGTCTTGCACAGGCTGTCGAGCATTTGAAATGTGTCCAAACCACGCCATTTTTCGCCGTTTGACAGTGGCAAGAAGAGGTTCCTGATATCCCAAAAAACTTTCAATCCTTATCTGCACATATTCATTGATTTTCTTGTTCCCAATATAAAACGCCAAAGAGTTTTCTCATGCATTTGTTCTCAAACGCCTAGATCCTTCTCTCTGTATCTGCCAACAGTGTCCACTTTTCACATCCATATAGGAGACTGGAAACTACTAGCGATTTGTACAGTCTGTACTTTGTTTGAAAGCTGGTTTGTCTCCTTCATATTCTTGTCAATGTGGCCATAGCTGCCATGGCTGCGGCAATCCGTGTGAGGATTTCAGAATTGCAGGTACCATCTTTAGACAAGATTGATCCTAAGTATTTAAAACTGGATACTTCCTTCAGTGAATTCCCATTTATGGTAATGTTGACACAGGTGTTACTCTTTGTGCTATTAAATATTACTTTGGAGTTTTCGGAGCTGACCTCCATTCCATATGCTCCTGCTCTTTCAAAAGGTTTGTTGGTCAAGTCCTGGAGCTCACTGTTACTGCCCGTTATGAGGTCAATGCCATCTGCATAATGTAAGTTACAGACCGGTCTGCCACCGATGGAGATTGAAGGATCATGGTAGTTCAAGGTTTCTTGCATGATTCTCTCAAGAAATGTGGGTGAAAGGACGCATCCCTGTCGAACGCTGAGAGTTTGCTGGAAGAATCTTCCCATTTGTTTTCCCAGAAGAACTGCGCTGGTGGCATCTTTATTTGGGGCCTGGATGACTTGGATAATTCCGTTATCTACATTGAATTATGTAATAATTTACTAAAGAACGTCATGCCATACACGATCAAATGCTTTCTTGAAATCAACAAAAAATGTATGTATGTATATATATGTGCGTATGTGTGCGTGTGTGTGAGAGAGAGACAACACACACACACACACACACACACACACACACATATATATATATATATATATATATATATAGTTAAACCTAGAGAACCAGACAAACCTACCAAGGTTTCACCTAAGCGGATCGTCAGGGAAGACTGGCTAAAAAGGTAAAGAAGAACGGAATACTTATAGTCAGAAGTATCAATGCAATTAATGGCGAAATCACTTCACTAGTAGAACATAATGTATGCATTAAAATACTGTTAATCCATTAAATGATGTGATCCTCATTTATAAAACTGTTGTCAGATGTTTCTAGTGTATATTTTTTTAAGTTAAGCAAGTACTTTCGAAATCCATGTCTTCATCCTCAGGCTGTAATTTTTTTCCTTTAAAGTTAAAAATTGAAGACGAAATAATTGTTTGTAGACCGAAAGATGTTTTTTTTTTAAGAATGTGCTATTTATTGGCGGTTATACAATCTCGGAACGTGCGAGTCGCAACGCTAAAGTTCAAAATTTCAAGTGAGAATTTTTATATGAATTTTGTAATATGGTAAATCCACGAATTCTTTTTTTTACAAGTGTTTTTCAGTTAACATGGCATGAACTAAGTATATATTTCAATTAATATAGTGATATGTCTTAGTAGTTTATATATATATATATATATATATATATATATATATATATATATATATATATACACATATATGTGTGTGTCTGTATGTGTGTGTCTGTATGTGTGTGTGAGGAATTGCTGAAAAGTGATGATGCTGAGCAAGAAAGGTAGCTAAAAATTATAAAAATTATTCACATTTTGAAAGTAGGTCAGCCAGAGGGTGTGCTAAAAATTTATGAGCCTGGCCCACTTCCCATCTGACCAAACGCCATAGTTTTTCTATGGTCGGACTGAGAACTTTTCGGAAAACCCTAGTATAAGTATGTATTCATTTGCATGTATGTGCGTGCATGCGTGTGTGTGTGTGTATACATTAATATTTCTTCTGCTAGCGTACACACACAAAGACAGGCACGAGCTGATGTACTTGACGTGTAATTATGTATGGCCTCTCTAGTCATGTACAAATAAAACATTTTTGCCATTAAACAAAGCACAAAGGCGGGGAAGGCGGGAAAGGCGGGAAAGGCGTTAGATATTTATAGCCAGCAGCAAAAGAAATGAAAAAAGGAATAAAGAAAGAAGTAATTAAAGAAGGAGAAAGAGAGAGAGAGAGAGAGAGAGAGACTGTGATAGAGAGATGTAGTGTAACAGAGAGAGGTAGTGTGACAGAGAGAGAGAGAAAACATTCGGATTTAATATAGAAAAAGAGAGGAATGTGTAAAGAAAGAAGAGGAAACAAAAAGGCGCCGAGAAAAATAAAGAAGGAAAGAAGAATGAGTAATGGATAAATTAAGGCAAATAAAAGCGATAGGCAGTAGGATAAAAGAAATGAAATGAAATTTTAGCTACTGAGATTTCAAACGGGGAAAAATGGAGGAAGTTGTTAAAAATGACTGTGAAGAAATGCAATATAAATGGATGAGAAAGAAGGAAAGAAAGAAAGAAGGAAGGAAAGAAAGAAGGAAAGAAAGAAAGAAGGAAAAAAGAAAGAAAGAAGGAAAGAAAGAAAGAAAGAAAGAAAGAAGGAAAGAAAGAAAGAAGGAAAGAAAGAAAGAAGGAAAGAAAGAAAGAAAGCAAATAAAAACAGGACATAGACAGAAATAAGTATACAGCATGGGAAGAAATAGGAAAGAACAGACGACAAACAAAGGATAGCAAAAGAAAAAAATGTGCAAAAGAAAAAGAAACGGTGTATAGAAATAAAGAAAAAAAAGAAAGAAAGACAGAAAGAAAGAAAAAAAGAAAGAAAGAAAAAGGAAGAAAGAAAGAAAGAAAGAAAGGAAGAAAGAAAGAAAGGAAGAAAGACCGATTGGAGCAAAAGGAAATAATATGTATGAAGAAAGAATCGAATTAAATGAAAGAACATGAAAATGGAAGAAAGAAAGAAAGAAAGAAAGAAAGAAAGGGACAAAAAAGAGCAGAAAAAAAACGATAAAATAGAATATAGAAAACATAAAAGAACCGAGAAGAAAGAATAAGATATAGAAGAAAAAATAAAGAAAAAGTACGAATAATATGAAGAAAATATGGATGAAAAGCAAAAACAAAATGAAATATATGAAGAAAGATTTGCATGAAAAAGAGAAACGAACGAATGCAAAACTACGCCGAAGAAAAAAAAAACTATAAAAAAATTAGAGAAAAGATTGAAAACAAAATATCAAGAATAAATAAATGAAAAAAAATTATTTCAGAAATATATTTTGTCATAGTCTTTTAAAACAACAACAACAATTATCAAAAAAGAAAAAGAAAGAAAACCTCTTTTACAAACATATAAAGAGTTAGCATAATTTTGAAAACTGTGGGTACATTCTTTGAGACTGGAAGCGCTCAATTCCCTTTTACTGTCAAAGATCGAAGAAAGTAAGACCTCTTTTCGTCTTGCTCAATCTCTTCTCCTTTTCCAATGCAGCAAGGGCTCCTTAATAGACGTCATAAATCAGCGAGAACTTTTGGAACTCTTGCTTAGATTTTTAGGAAAACTAAATAAAGAATGAAAAAAAAAAAAAAAAAACAGTGACGAAAATAACCTAAAAAGAATGAATATAAAATTCCCGAAAGCAATAGATGAACTTAAAATAAACTAATAAAAATATATCCAATGCGAATAGAGTCTGATGAATAAATATGTATTATCCCGGTTATGAGGACACGGGGCATGCGCAGAGATATTCAAATATGCGTGATTCATCTCCTAAATATCTTCTTTTTCTATGAGACGTGTCCCTTCAGGATGTGGGCGATTATGGCTCTCCATAAATTTCTTCTGTAGCTCTTAGCAACATTTCTACCTTTGCCAAACATCCTACCCCTTGTTCTGACAACCATTTACACAACCTCGTCATCTAGACTGTTACGTTTTTGCTTTTAAGTGTCCTTTTTGTTTTTATTTTCCTAAAGACTTCGTTGTTTACGCTCTCCATTCATGCATTCCCAGCATCCTCCTGTATAAAAGTCATTATGTTGCCTTCAGTTCTCTCTTCATCTACAAGAAAATTATCCAGTATTCGCTGCGCTATAAGAGGATAGATATTGCATGACAGTTCTGTGTCCTTTCCTTTGGTTCTGACGAAATGTTCTTCTTTCTTAAGACTTTACTTAGTTTCTAGAACGCATATTTTGCTATTTCAAGGCACCTTCGGATTGCGGTTACATATTTTCCATCCTTTGTTAAAAAAAACTTCCAAGATATTTAAGTCTTTGCATTTGTTTGATATTCGCATCTCCAAATTGTAGCTTACATTTTGTATTTTTACTGTTTATTTATTACGTTGTCTAGGGGAGCTTGTCGTTTTCCTTCTGCGTCTGCCATCAACACAGTTTCCTGCATATTTTATATTGTTAAAACTGCATCAGCCGACAAATAATCATGTTATGGTCTCCAGCTGCTTTTTTGGGATAGTCTCGTTGTCGAGGTTGCATAATTCCGGTGAGAAGACGCATCCTTGTCTTACGAACCTTTTCTATTAGTGTGTATTTACTGAAATAATTTTGTATCAATATTTGGGAGACTTCTTCAAAGTATAACAACATCTCGGCATACGGCCATATTCTGTTGAAACACCGGTCCCCGTATGATCACCGAAGTTAAGCAACGTCGAGACTGATCAGTTTCTGGAGAAGTAACCGCTTGGGAATACCAGGTACTTGTAAGCTGGAGAGGGAGCAAGCGAGATAGATAGATAGATAGATAGATAGATAGATAGATAGATAGATAGAGAGAGAGAGAGAGAGAGCGATAGAGAGAGCGAGAGAGAGGGAGAATGGAAAGGTTAAGAGAATAGGAGAGGAGAAGACGAATAATATATAACTAAATTAAATTATATATATATATATATATGAAAAATTTCTCAGAGTTAACCTGTAGAAAAAGACAATATTTATAAATGTAAAAGACAATAGGAAAACTGTAATAGTTGCCAACGCGTTTCGTCCAATGTGGACTTTCTCAAGGCAAAAAACAAAATGAATTTATTTAAACAAAGTAACTAATAATAACAAAAAACAAAATGTCCTTAGAATTTTGAATTTTAAGTTTTCACTCTCTTGAAATGGCTGTCAACCAAGGCCAGTGAGTTCAGTCTACGCTGTTATTTAAGACATAACTGAGAGTAAGGGAGCGATAGATCGATACCATTCCGTTTGTGCAAAAGTGTACGGAGCAGATGAGGCGGGGATTTGAACTCGGTTCGCCAATTCCACTTCATTGGTCGATAACGGCTACTCTATCTGAACGTAAAGCATTTCATCAATTTAAAGACTCAGTTTATTAAAAAACGAAAATACTTTTGATCTATCGATATGCTGAAATATTTTATGTTTTCAAGACGTCTGACATTTTGTAGTAATCCATCAGTGTTTGAAACTATATGATAAATTTTCTTTTGTCCGGTTCGAACTCCTTCTCGGGTTTTGACCATCAGCAGAGGTTTATCTCTTATTACCTGTTTAAGATTTCCGGTACCTTCTAAAGTCTTCTCATTTTGATTCACCTCCAGTAGGCTCTTGTGTCTTAGTGGCATTATCGCCTTGTTTGAGCTGAACTGTTTAAACAAATATTTGTTTTACCCTCCAGAAATTTGTTTTTCCGTCTGTATCTTCTTGAATATTGAAGCCCAGTCAGCAGAAGACCTGAAAGTCACTCAAGGTAGAGGATTACTGAAGGAGATGTGTAATATTAATGGAAGAGGTGTTGGAGGATAGATAACGATTGACGTTTGACGTGAAAGAATTAAATTTCTAATGTTCGGGGAAGCATCAACGTGGGAGTCTGTTCCACAAAGTTGCAGTTGCTACTAGCTATATGAGTGGAACTTTCTACTTACATCTGGAATACAGACGTAATTAGAGTGATTCGACTCCGTGGCGATAGCATGCTCAAGCTGAAAAGGTTTCTACTTTGATTCAATCATCCTTTTCTTTTATTAGGTCCATTTAAGTTCGCTTTTAGTGTTATTTTCATTACCCCACAGTGTGTTCGGATGCCCATTTCCATGGATACATATATGTATATCATTCATCACTAATAATCGATTCGCAGAAAACAGCTGGATAAAGTAAAAATGTCATCTTATGATTGCCCTCACTGTCCGTCGCTATTACTGTAGTAAGGATATTGTAAACGCACAGAGAAGCAAGCGAGAGAACAGAAAAGCGAGAAAGACACTCGCGTGATTTTATTACGAGATTTCACGTAATGATAAATCTGCGCCGACGGGAAATTTTGTATGATGCTGAAATGTCACTTCTTCCATCTGTCTCCGCGAATGTATAATAAAAAAAGAAGAAAACGTGAAGAAAAATCTTGGAATACATTTTTGGTTGTAAAGTTATTGGTAAACAATAAAGAATAATTCAGTCGATATCGGAAGTTTGTATTTTGTTTTATTATCAGTTACACATTGTCATCCGCATTTTGTTGCAAACGGGTCACTGCACTGGCCAGAATAAAAAAAAAAAAGAAATCAAGTCGAAAGACTATTAAATCAAATCTGCTTAAAACTAGCACGGAAAGTGGTTTGAACACGAAGAAGACAGACGTTTGGTCGGTTTTAGAACTGCGTACGAATGAATAGATTGAGACACGTAGTATCTTCAGCAAAAAAAGACAGCGTTTTCGCTAGCATGTCTTACGCTGGGACAGCAGATAGTAGGCTAGTATACACGATTCTCATTGGATATTCTGTTATTTTAGACTCGATCGTAGATACCTTAATCTAACTTAAATATTTACCGATTTACGAGAAGGGACAAAAAACAATCTATATTTACAGACTCGTGTTAAAATGAGTTCGATTCTCACTGGGTTAGAAAATATCCGCTGGGCTTCCGACCATTATCACGTTGAAACAGTGGTTCTCGTACGACCACCAAAGTTAAGCAACGTCGAGTCTGGTCAGTATCTAGATGGATCGACCAGGTGATTTGAGCTTGGATGTTCGGGGGCTGTAATAGAATTGGAAAGCTGAATTCCAATTCCAGTTGTTTTTTTTTTTATATTTACATGAGCAAATAGCCTTGGGAATGGTATGAATCCACTCCTTCTCCCTCAGCTATGGATTAATCAGTAAAATCATTATTACTTCCCCCCCAAATTCTTTCAGTCTAAAAAATATTTTCCGGCTTTTTCTGCAGCATGTGACACAAACAGGAGAAGACAGTCATGACTGTCAGACTCCTGGGAAGGATTGATGAGCCGTAAAAAAACATTTCAACAAAAAAATAAAATAAAATAAATAAATCTACCGACACCAGAGTTCCGTGTTCAAGTCAGCATAAAGGATATAAGTGTCTGTGTATTTATGATATTGAGTCACCCACCACGAGGGTGTCATGTGGCACAAGGCCTTTTTAACGTGGGCATTCCGAGCCCGTGAGCTCGGCCAAAAATATGCCCATTGAAACCCGTATAAACGGGTTCAGGGCCGGTTTACCTCCCCGAAGAAGACTCCGCCCTTCGGCTTAGCCTCCTTCGGGTTCCTCCCGTCCGTAGGAAGAGAGTTGAACCGAACAGTCGGTTCAAAAGTGAACGACTGACTCTGTGTATTTACATGTACATATGTATTTCTTAAACGCTATATCTAGTGTATACTGGTGTGTTTGACTAGAGATCGTGTTATTTATTTTTAACAGTGAAATTAATGTCTATCGGCCTACTGATTGAGATGCCCTACTAAAGAAAATGACCCTCACGACAGAAATCGAACCTGTATTCCTATTTAATTAGGAAGAAAATTTAAGTCAGTGTATATTTGCGTGTGTGTGTTTATGTGTACATTCTATGAGTATATTTATGATATATTCATGTTATGGTATGTGAGTGTGTGTGCATGTGTGTGGGTACATATGTACGTGTGTGCGCACTCGCGTACCTGTGTGTATTTATTTAAGCTTATCTTTCGCAGGCACAAAGTAATACGAAATTGATGGATTGCTTTGCGCCAATCATTCAATCAAGCTGATGCCTGTCATGAGAATCGTCATTTTAATTCATAGCGTTTCATATGCTGAAATCGTGATCAGCCACAAACGACAATGGGCAATATGCTACTATTTCGACCACCAAGCAGATTACCAGTTATACCAAAGAAAACCGTCTTGAAGCCGTAAACTTCAATGAACATTTTTAAGAAATCCACATCTGACGTTGTCACCTTTTGAAGTCGGCATCCGCTAAATTCATATTCGCACACGAAACGTAAACAAAATCATATTTAATAATTAATGGATTTTCATCCATTGAAAAATGCTGATTGCGTTGTTTAAAAGTGATTTAAATATTCGATATAAAGTAACAAAGACTCGCTAATTATGGCTTTACAATAATGTTATGAATCATGACTCATTTACAAAATTGAGTGTCATCATTATAAATTAATTTTTACAGTAAACTTTGAAGAGTTTTCAAGTACATGGCTACATTGAAAACGTTAAATCATTTTATTCTTTGATTACATTATTACGAGATGAATCCATTTTAGTAAAGTTTTTTTTATCATAACAATCTCGATCGACATACTACTTTTCTACTGCTAGTGCTAAGCCAAGGATTCGTTTTTCTCACAAGAATAATTACACTTGCACTTATATTGTATATTTAGACAGCAATCACCCCCCCCATACATATATCATTGAATACAATAGACGGGAGGCGCTCAGATAGATTTCAATTAGTTTTTCTAGTGTTCTTACAATTCTTAAGCATTTTAAGAACATTAAAAACTGAATAAAAATTACGGAGTATCATTTGTCCTTCGTATTCAATGATATAGGCATATACAGGGTGCGATGTGTAAAGTGTCGCCATTTTATATATTTAATTTTCACATGCGCGTTGATTTTTTCTGATTTTGTCGACTGCGCAGTATAGTAGGGTCAGTTGGGCACAGTCTGTGAGAAAAAGAGCACCACAACGCAATACACTTCGCCAAAAAGGAAAAGGCAGCCTGTACTGCTTGGTATTCGCACCGGAAGCTTCAATACAAACATTTCAGAGTGTTTGGGTGTCAATCTGAGGACAGTGCAGATGATTCGGCAAGAGTTGGGTAATATATCCAGTCAACATCATGGTGTTTGGGGTGATCACTAGTAATGGAGACTTTACACTTCCATTCATCACCCCACAGGATCAACTCAACACGGAAGCCTACATCATGTTCCTTGAGGAGGTCCTGTTGCCCTGTGTCAAGAGAGTAACTGCTGGAAGACCCTATGTCTGAAAACAGGACTCTGCACCATGCTACACAAGCAGGAGAACCCAGTCATGGCTGTCAAACAATTTCCGCGACCACATCACTCCTTATATCTGGCCACCTAACTCCCCAGACTGCATTCCATTTGATTATTATGTGTGGGGTGAGAGGGCAAGAAATTCCTTGTAACACCAAAGATGAATTGAAGGCAAGGATTATGGTAGCATTCACCAGCTTAAACAATGAGACAGTCCAGAAGAGTTGCTGGAGATTCTGAAGTAGTCTGGAGACCGTGATTGAAGCCAATGCCGATTTTATTGAATAAATTAATCTTTAGTATTTCAATATATATATATATATATATATATATATATATATAAGGGTATACCAAGCACATGCACCGGAAACTCCAATGCGAACATTTCAGAGTGTTTGGCTGTCAATCTGTGCAGATGATTCGG